AGAAAGACCTAACATTTCACTTTTGTTTTCATTATATCATCTTATTTATTGGCCAAGAATTTATCTTTTGAGCTTAAGTGTAATCAGAGGTTTTACAAGTTTAGTTTAAAAGCTTCTTCAAGTCCATACAAGCTAATAAATGGTTAAACCAAGTTGCAGACATACATCAGTGATTCATCATCTATGCCATCTAATTTTGTGTAAAGAAAATAGTATTAGTGCTAAATATATAAATTTTAAACATGCATATAATAGTCATGTTGTTCCTACAATTTGGCCTTCTTTCTTTCAACCATAATCACCAAGAATATTATTGTTTCTTAAAAAATTAAAATAAACATTAATAATTACTCTGATAACATATAGCATAATTTATGATGCTCATCACATATGTTTATAGGTTTTTAACTATAACAATTTTTTCATTTTACTTTATTTTATCCACATTCATTTCCACTCAGAACTTTATGTTCGTGAATGTTCTTCTATCATTATTGTTCAACTCTTAAGGACCCACCGTTAACATCTGGAAAAGGGCCAAACAAAGAATGAGCTTGTTGACAACCTCTGCGATTATTTCTATAGAGACTGAGTGAAACAGATCAATAAAGAAAATTGCTAAAAGGCAACTTAGAATAATAAAGAAGCTGTACAAATAAATGCTTGATGACCAGTGGATATTGATGAATCTTTTTAGTTAGTACTGCATTTGCTCTAGGACATACCTAGAAATCACTAAACCTTATCTTTCAGTATTTAAAATATTTAATTGGCTAGATAAATATATAATGTATTTATTTAGTACAATGTTCTTAAGTTAATCCAAAGCATGTCATGAAAGCTCACTGTCTTTATTTTAAAACATCTTTAGAATACTACATTAACCAAATACATATTGAGTGTATAGTATGTACTAGGCTCCGAATGTAACTATGAATAAAACAGTCCAAAAGCATAACCTAAACTCTAGTGAGAAAGCTTGGGGTAAATAAAATAAGTAAACTTATGGACTATTATAAGGTGATATAGGGCTGGGCATGGTGGTGCACGCCTGTAAGCCTAGCACTCAGGAGGCTGAGGCAGGAGGATCGCTGTGAGTTTGAGAGCAGCCTGGGCTACATAGTGAGTTCCATATCAGTCTCACCACATAGTGAGACCATGACTGAAGAAAAAGAAAAAAAGAAGAAGAAGAAGAAGGTGATACAGGAAAAATAAAATGAAGAATGGAGATAGGAAAATATACATGATTATAGTTTTTAAAGGGAGTTTAAGGGAAAATCTCACTGGGAAAATTACATTTAAATAAAAAATACTTTTGCTTAAAAATAAAGTCAGTCCTATGAATATCTGGAGAACACTCCAGTAAAAGTTTACCAGACCTCTCATATGCATCCCTAAAACCCTCTTGGTCTCATCTGTGTCTCATTCCAGTTATATATGGTCTGTGACTAATTTCATTCATTTTCTTCTACCCCAGGACTCCCTGTTGATAGTATTGCAGATCCTCAACACTTCAACCCACTCATGTAAAAGTTGGAAATACAAGGGGATTAATGTCCACGAGGGTAAACTTCAACTATTACAAGAATCTTGTGGATGAATTCTTTCCTCTTTATATTCCCCTAGAGACACATAAGGATACCACCCAGTAAAGTGAACAGTTATTCGCACTAACTAGAAGCCAGCTCATCAAGTGTTCTTGCCTAGGTTTTCCCTCCTTCCCCGCATCACTCGCTCTTGTCTCATATTTTTTGCCTGGGTTTGGACTCCCTGAAAACAACCTAAATGTTCTACAGCGTTTCTCTGGGTAACCTGAGGTGTGCAATGAAGGGAAAAGAAATGCAAATTCCGGGAATAGATAAGTGGTTGGTAAACTAAGGTACAGCAAGAAAGCCATTGTTGCAAGACCAAATAACGCAAGGAGAAGAATAAAAGGAAATGCAGTCTGAATGTCACCGAGGACAAATTATGTAAAAGCCTTATTGACATTGATGTAACTTTAGGCTGATGATGTAACTCAGTAGTAGAGTATTTGCTGAGCATGTGCAAAGCCTGGGTTTTACCCTGCCCGCTGCCCCAGAAAATAAAAACATTGGCTGTGATTCTGATTGAGGTGGGAAATTGCTGACAGGATCTGAATGATGATTTAACAAATGACTCTCCACACTCCTGACAGGAAAGTGAAAAGGAACAAGGGTAGAAGTGGAAGATCAATCAGAAATCTTCTGTAACAATTCTGGTAAGAAATGATGGTGGTTTGGGACAGTAATAGCAGAAGAGAAAGTATGTGATCTGTTCTGATTGTATTTTGAAGGTAAGCTTATCAGAAATGCATTGATACTATGAGAGACAAAGAAGAAAGAATGGCTCAAATGAAAACTTGATTTGATATTAATCGAAAGTAGAAAGGCAAAGAAAGCATAGAATATGTTCAGAATTTCCCACTGGAATTATGATATTCCATGTATCCATTAAACCTGAAGTGGAGATACCAAGAAAAAAAGTTAGATGTGCATATATGTGTTTGAATTTCAAGGGAAAAGTCCAGGTTAGCAAATGTTAAACTGTCATTGAATTAAAGTCATAAGGCTGAATGAAATGACCAAGAAAATGAGTATCTTAAAAGAAGACCAAATCCCAAACCCTGCTATACTCTAACATAAAAATTTGGAAAATAGGGCAGGGGATTTAGCTCAATGGTTCCACTTCCTGTTTCTGAAGTGCAAGGTCTCGAGTTCAATCCCTGGTACAAAAAAAAAAGAGACTGCTATGGTTTAGATTTAGAATATTCCCCAAATCCTCATACGTTCAGGTTCAGGGCTTTTTGAGGTAATTGGGTCATGGGGATGCTGTACTCATCAGTGGATTAATCCACAGAAGTGCTCAGAGCTTAGAGTGCTATTGGAGGCTGGACTTGGTCAAAAGAAGCAGGTCATTGGTCTACAGGACCCTTTCTTGCCCTGGTTGGCATCTGCCCCATGGGCATTTATCCCCTCGCCCCAGTAAATCTCACTCTGGGTCTTCGCTCCACTCTCTCTGTTCCCTGGCAGCCGAGACACACAGCGCTTTCCTCCACTGCAGGCCTTTCCTCCATGCTGCTTCTGCTTCGCAGCCAGGGACTGTAGACTGAAACCTCTGAAACCTGTCAGGCCAGAATAAATCATTCCTCCTTCAAGTTGTAGGTGCTGGGTATTATACCTCAGTGCAGGAGAGAAAAAAAGAAGCAAAGAGAAAAGGAAAGGAAGGAAAGAAGGAAGGAAAAGAAAGCGGGGAGTGGGAGAGAGAGAAGTACAGAGGCAAGGAGTGGGGAGGAAAACTTTAAGACAGGAAGCAGTGAGAAGGCTGAGGATGGTCAAAGATGATGAAAATCACGTGAGAAAGAAAAACAAAACAAGAAGCAAGAAATGGGAAAAGCAATTGACTGTGTAAAGACTTGGTCAAAGATGATGAAAATCACGTGAGAAAGAAAAACAAAACAAGAAGCAAGAAATGGGAAAAATATAAGCAATTGACTGTGTAAAGAATGCTAAGAGAACAAGTATTGAAAATTTGACTTGGATTTAGAGAGGAAATTGTTGAAATTTGTACTTTTATTGGAATGATAGAAATAGAAATATGATTTGAATGCATTTAAGAGAAAATAGGAGAGAAAGAATTACTGAAAGTGGTAAAGCTTTGGAGGCATCCTACCGTTAGTAGAGAGCAAAGAAATGGAGGTAAAACTACAAGGAAAGACCAGATAAACAGAGGGTTTATTTGAAGTTGTTTACAAGCATGTATTAATAAAAAATGATATGAAAAAAACAAGGAAGCTAAAATATAAAAAATGTAATATAAACATGCTCTGCTTTAACAATTTATTTCTAGAAACCTATCATTGAGAAATTTTCCTAAGTAGGCAGACACATCCATATACATGAATAAATATCATGGCATCACTTGTAAAAGAATTTAGCTCATAAGTAGATTAATAGATATAATTCAACAAGAAGGAAATGATGATTAATCAAAGAAGTTTTCCTGCACAATATCCCTGACAATGAATGCAGGGATGGGCTCTTACGGAAAATTGAAGAGGCTACCTTTGCTAGGAAGGCAGATTACTCGTCTACAAGGGCTCACGTGCTGACTGGTATGTAGATAACTGGTGTGAGAAAAGTGGACCTGCTCTTCTGGTTGCCAGTGTTTACTCCATGAAACTGAAAGCAAATTTATCTGTCAATAGTAAGGATGAGTGAATAGATGTTGAAGTTAAGAGAGGAGAGAGAGAATGAAATAATTTTCTATCGTCTTTTTAGTTTCTGGGTAACTGTCATTCTAAGATCCACGTCTCATCTACTCTAATTACAAATGCTAAAAGGTAACCAGAACAGAATTCAGTGAGGAGTATCACAGTCAGCAGAACATGGAAGGGCAAATGATTGCCCAGTCTATTCCATTCTCTGTTCCATAAGGATACGAGTGGCTGTGTTTCTGTCCCTTAAAAATCTCTATAACCAGGGATGCAGCTCAGTGGCCCTGCTGTGCATGCCTGCCTGGCAAACGCAAAGTCCTGAGTTCAATCCCCAATAGCAGAAAAAACAAAACAAAACAATACAAACAAATCTCTGTAGCACCAACTTATTTATTTTTATCCAATCCAAGTGGCCCAATAGATGATAGATCTGTTCTGGGGTCAAAAGTGGAGCAAACCCTCTTTTCTTATTTAGAATTCTTGCATGAGGAAAAAGTTGAATCAAAGTTGGTCTAGTAGGCATCCAGGGGACTCTAGATATTGTAGTAATGAAGAATGCATACAAAGTTATCCTCTTTCCTAAAGGAATATCAAGAAAGCAATTCACTAGATAGGAATAAGTTAGAATTTCCATGCCCCAGAAAATTCTAAGAACTGAAAAACAGTTGCCATTCTTCCTTACCCCCTGCTTCCATTTGACTATTCATTATGTTCCTTCGCAAATGTATTGATCACTTTCCCATCGCGGGGGCAAAATACCCAATACCTGAAATTTAAAGGAGGAGTTCGTCTTGGTCCATGGCTCCAGCAGATTCAGTCCAAAAGTCAATTGGCACCAGGGAAGAAATGGCAGAGTGAAAAAGGCTGGCAGAGGACAGCTGCTTACCCTATAGGAGCCAACAAACAGAAAAGGAGAAACCAGGGACAAGAATACACCTTTTTTCAGGTCACGTCTCCAGTGACCAGATGGTTATGACAAAGTTCCACCCCCTAAGAGCACATCCATCTATGAACTCATTTGTGGATTAATCCACTGGTGGGCATGGTGCTCGCATGATCTGTCAGCTTCCAAAAGCCCCGCCTCTAAACACAAAACACTTTTGGAGAACACTGTTCTTGTAAACTATACAACAGATGCATATCTCCTTTTGTGTGTGCAAAAAGAAATCCTTTGAATTGGGAATTACACTTTTCATTCTCTTGTGAGAAAAGTAAAGTACGACGTTAACAAAGCTGCCCGTTAAAAGAATTTCACACATGCACAAACTCATTTAATATTCAAAAAGCCCAAATGAAGTGTATCCAACTTTATAAATAAAAGGACTGAGAGGAGTTTTAAATGATTTGTTTGTGTTTACATAATTAATGTACAAAGGATGATTTTTTTAAAAAGAGATTTCTCATGGCATTTAATTGGTACATTTTTGGTTTACAATACAGTTACATTCATCATTGGGATCTTGTACCTTTATGTGAAATGTCTTGGTTCTCATTTTCTCCCCATACCCCTCAAAGGATGACTTTTAACCTAGGTCGTTTGACTGAAGATCCCATGGTCTTTTTGGTAAGACACATTTTATTGCCCATCTTTCTTTAAACTATTTGCCTCCCTTCCCACTACAATTATATCTGTATATGAAACCAATAAATTCTTGAGTGACTCAGCTAAACTATCTCACAATATCCAATTAAAAAATAATCAGCTGTGAACATAACATATTGAAGAAAAATTCTAAACTCTCTAGAAAGTGAAACATAGACCCTTCCTCAATAAACACAGAGAAACAGATTTTTTTGACTAGGTACAAATATGCTTTAAAACATTGATGCAGGAAAAAATTTCATGAACAAAGCTTCAGTTGCTCATGAACTAGCCCAAAGAATCAACAACTGGAATCTCATCTTATTGAAAAGTTTCTGCACATCAAGAGAAACCACCAACAAGGTGAACAGACAATGTGGAAAAAAAAATTACCACCTATTCCTCAGACAAAGGTCTACTATCTAGAATATATAAAGAACTAAAAACATCAGACAGCCCAAATTTAAAGACCCAATCAAAAAATGGGCATTGGAAATGAACAGACATTTCTCAGACCAAGAAGAAACAGCAAATAAACATATGAACATATAAGAAATGTTCAACATCATTGGTCACTAGAGAGATGCAAATGAAAACAGTGCTTTAAAATTTTTAAAATTTCTCTCACTTGTGAAATTCTGGAGAGTCTACAAACCATTATTCTTGTTAGTATCTTGAAAATTAATGCAAGTCACCAAAGTTCTCACAGACCAAGAAGACCAAGACTCAGGAGTTCTCATAAGTTCAGTAAAGGGAAAGTTAATGCATAATATGTGGGAAGATTTAGATTTAGATTCTATTATGTGCCTGGTAGTCTATATATGTGATTTATTTCAACATTGGTGACCTTACAGTAGAATAAGCAGGTCTTCACAAAAGAAAATAATGATCCCAGCATTTCGATTTGTAAGTATAATTTTAATCCAGGACTGTATGGCTCCAAAGCTCGTGCTCTTTGCACTAAAATTAAAGGTGAAAGAAATAAAAAAAAAAAATGAGGAAAGGAGAGGAGAAGAAAGGAGACGCGCCCCCAGGAGTCCTAAACTACCAATAATAACTTTACAATAATTTCACTAAACACAAAGTGGCCTGAAACAAGGTGGACAATTGAAGTCTGTGTCACTTCCTCCTGCAGGGGCTTTTAGCCATCTGTATTGATTTGATCTGATAGCTCTGTGTTTTCCACTGGCAGTTGTTTAGTGATGCATCTTGGTGATTAGCCACAACATGTCATTCTAAGATCCACGTCTCATCTATTCTAATTACACAAGATAGAAACACATTTATTAAAGAACTTAAAGAATAGAACAAAATCTTACTTTCCAGTGGTGTGACATCCTAGGCGATTAACTGACACACGTTCAGAATCACAGGACTTCTTATCTTGAGAGGCCCTCAGGACAGCCTGCTGTCTGCCTGTACGTTCTGTTTTTAACTGTGAAGAGCTTAACAAAGGCAAGTTATAAGAAAGCAATTTTACTAAAAAAAATTATAAAATGTAAATCAGTACTTCACTTATTTTCATCATTTTAGCTATAAAGAAGTTACTGTTTTCACTCCAGCCTGTACTTAAAACTCAGTCCCAGCTAAAGAGTATAGAGCAGAGTTATTCATTCAATCCTTTAGTGAATTAATATTTTAATTGAACACTACCTTCCAGGCATTCAATTTCCCAATGAGACAGAAGTGAACAAGATACAAACACAGTTGTTAATTGGCATGTGGCTAGGCCATATTTATTTTAATTTTTATAATCTTTTATTATTTTAGTAGTATATGTTTGCAGTATGTAATGATCACATTCACTGTAGGAAGTTTGTACACGTACATAACCTATTTTAATTCCCTTCTTTTTTCCCCTCCCTCTACTTTCTTTTATTTTTCCAGCAGATTCACTTATCTTATGAGACCTTCTAAAGTTAATTCTCATATATGCAAATTGAAAAACCAAGCTAATATTTCAAAGAACATATAAAACATGTAAGACAGTCCTTCTAAGTCACAGGACACTTTCAGATACACTGCCCATGCTAAAGACATAGAGGTGGAGGAGCTTTAACATAGTAAGACACTGATGGTTGTTAAGCAAGGGGCCAACATGATAATCGGACTAGTATTTTAGAAGGATTGCAACTGGACTATGGTTAAACAAATAGGGTAGAGATAGAATGAAAGGTGTCAGAAGGTCATTCTTTCATGAAAGTGTAAAAGGGTTGATAAAGTCTCAGCTAGTGACGGGAGCAGTGTGAGCAGAAAAGGAAGATAATTTGATGCCACAATGATATAACAAGATCACTTCAGGTGCACTGGCAGGAGATGCAGCATCTAGTTTGATGGGGGGGCTCCATGTTGGAAGGAAGAATCAGTTGCCCTTTTTCTGGGATAGCAGAATGTTCAGACTTTTCAGATTCCTAATTCATTCTTATCTGATGTTTTTATATTCACATCTGGCTTCTGGTATGAACTTTAAATCCCAGAAAGAATTTGTTAAGTGGGAGACAAGTTGCTATCTTAGCTAATATTGAGAATCCAGTGGCTTCCTGCATAGGTCACCTCTAGAAGTTTTGGAACAAAGACGTATAATTGGAAACCAATTCTGTAAGAGGTAGTCTGTGGACTTGAAAATATGCAAGAATCTACCACTAAATTTCCAAAGGACTTCAAAAGTCTGCTCCGACCATATTCACAGCTTTCTCCAATGCAGCTGAACTTTTGAACAGGATTATGCACCATGGCAGAGTGAAAAAAACAAATATTGATCACATATTTGCTAGTGATGAAAATTACCTTGCAAGAGGAAAAGATGGCTGCTTGTCAAAAGAAAAACTGATATTCTTAAATATCTGCACATTGAGCCTCAAACAGCCTCAACCAAGATGTTCTGGAGGACGGTCACTGCCTTTTAATGCTCCATTGACGTCAGATGGTGTCTAGTGCGACCAGCTATTTTTATAAATCACTTGAAAATGCAACAATCTCTCCTCTGAATTAGATCACGGAGAGTAAAATGTGCGCCTCAGCCATAGGGTAGATGAACAGGCCCTTCTGGTTTCTATTAAGAAGAATACAAGTTTTCCTCAATCTGCCCTGGAGCAATGATTGCAGTTGTCAATTGTACAAACCACTGAGTACTTTTTTTTTTGTAGTATTTGTAAGGAAAGAAGAAACAGAATATTTTGCTTTGCTGATTGAGAGTAACTACAAGAAACCTGAGCATAGTACTCAGAGCAAGCCAATATTTAGAAAGGAGCAGAATTGTCAGTGCAAGACAAGGAAAGGAGTACAAAAATCACTGATGCCATTCAGTTTCTCAATCTTAGTGCTACTTTTCTCAGTGAAAATATCCATGATCAAATTTAGGGCCAACAGACTATCTGGGCCCTGGACTCTGAGGGGGTTACCTTCTGTGATTTGTGAGGTTATAGTTTCTGAAGAATTCCTCCAGTTTGATAAATTACGATGCAGGTGTTACTGAAAATACCTCCTGATATAATAAGATGGAAGTCTCAAGCCAGAAAAATCTATGCATAAGCACATAGAAGCTCGTAACTTATCTCCCAAGCAAAGTTCTCAGAGTTAACTGAACATATTTTCTTCTGCCTTCATATTTTTAATGTTTCAAATTTTGAATTTGCGTTTTAAATCTTTTATTATTTATTTTTTATTGTAACTAATAAAAATTGCACATATTAGTGGGATACCATGTGATATTTCATTTTTCATTTGAGATTTTCCTTTTTAACTTCTTAAAATTTTTATTAATAGATGCTTGCTGTACATATGACTGCATTCATTGTTGGCAGTTGGTCATGTACCTAACACATCTAAGCTCTTTTTCATCCCCTTCCTCTCCTCTCTCTCCCCCTTCCATCAATCTCTTGATTTCCTTTCCTTTAGCAAAAGATCCATCTCCCTGTTTCCTATCATATATCTTTATATTCAAATCAAGTGTATCTATCTCCTCAGTCATCCCACTCATATCTAACTTGACAAACTTGATTGCCATTCCCCATCCTCCTTGTTCTTCTTTCCCCATTTTGACTAGAAATAAATCAAACATGGTCAAAAAGCACATAATACACAGTTAAGAAAACACTTAGCTATGGTGAAAGCTCATATAGCGGAGTTTTAAATCTTTCTATACACGGTCACTTTCATAGTTATACAATTTTATATGTGCAGAAAGCAGAAACTCATTGTTTATGAAGTTTGACTGTGAGGTGGGGAGGAGTTGACATTTCAATTCAAAGCCATTAACTTTGTCTGGCTATTATGTTGTTTTCCCAGAGAAGTATCTACATTTCAATAAGACCCTCTGATTTTATTTTATCATTTCTGAATTTTAAATTGCAAATGATAATATCAGTTTCCAAATGTCAACCACCATGATGAATTGGCTTCTCACCTTTTTAAACCACTTGCATTTCTTGCTTCCAAAATGTCAAACACAAACCCTCCTGATAACAAAGCTGGGCCCAGCATGGATTTTTTTCCTCAGAAAAAATAATATTTAATGGACAATTCTTTTGAAGTTTTTCCACGTGTAAAAGCCTATGTTCCCTGTGTTCTTGGTTTAACATTGTAATGGTGCAGACTGAGTCAACTTTCAAGTACATTAATAAAATTGAAATCCTCCAACAGAGCATATTGGAAATGATTGTTTTTACCATTTCTTTAGTGCTACAATTTATGTTTTAAAAATGTCTATGACATGCCTAATTAATCTTTTTATGTAATTTGCCTTCTATTCCAGGTACACAGATGTGTATTTACCCTTTTTGAAAGTGAAGGTAAAGCAACTGGAAAAAAAAAAGAATTTCAAGGCTCATAAATTTTTCTTCATTAACATCTTAATCTAGCAAAATGACAAGAATTGCCACACTGGATTTTATGAAATGTCGCCATAGAAAAGTACTAAAAGCTAGATTCTTCATGCCTTTTTCTATTTTGAAGCACAAATGGAAAAACTCATCATTGAAAAGTTACAGCCATTAAACCACTGATTGATAAGTTGAGTGATTGATGCATTTTTTTTAGATATGGATATTGGACCAAAGGTCTTCACACTGAACTATATTTGTAATCCTTTTTGTTTTTTTATTTTGAGACAGGGTGTCACTAAGTTACCAAGTTACCCAATTTGGGTTCAAATCTGATCCTCACGTTTCAGATTCCCAAGGTACTGAGATTACAGGCATACACTATCATGTCTAGTTGTTGATTTATTTATAGATATGTTCATTTGGTCATTCATCCACCACTTATTTACAGAGTATCTACCATGTTCTAAGAATTAAACTAAATGGGAAATGCAAAAACAGTAAAACACAGCCACTTGCCTTGAGAAGTTAGAATTTAAGAGGGAATTGGCCATGTCACAGCCATAAATAATAGGAACTCAGATGTCAGATACTCTTGCTTCTTTTTTCAACATAACTTTGAAGTAAAGTGCCTGATGTTATGAAAATGAAAATTACAACATAATATCTGATAAACTCACCTAAAATGTAATCTAACATAGCTTGAAAGAATAGTGCTTCTTTGCTTAGGTTATATAGCCAGGCAGCTTTGACTCTCCTATTCAGTTATGCCTGCTCTATTTTAGGATATGTTTAATAACATGAGACAGGACACAGCATCTTTATATTTTCCAAAATACAAACAAACACAAATAACTAACGGTGACTCTCATCCCAATAATTGCATGCATTGATTCTTTCAGCACATTATATCTCCATTTTCTTATTTTAATCTTTCAGGAAAATTAGTGGGCTTTCTGGCTAATTCTGGTGGTCTGAGCTTGTCTCTTATCCAGGGAAAGCATATAACTTCCAGCTGGTTTAGTGACTAAACAAAGATTCAAAACCCTTCCTCTATATGGTAAAAGAAAAGAATAAATATAGTTATATTACACATGCATAAAATACATAAATATATGCATAAAATATATGTAACAAGAAACTGGTGATATCAGTTTCCTCTAGAATTAGGATTGGGTTGTTGAAAGGCAGCTATTGCAGGGACACTCTCACTGTTCTTATGAGGCTTTTAAACATTTAAAGCATATATGTCACCTCTTTAATCATAAACACATACATACACATTCAAAATTGGAAGCTTCTAATGTACTAAACAGTCTATTCCCACATTCAAGTCCCTTCCTTGATCTAGCCTTCCTCTAGACCTGAGATCCAAAAATCTGTTGCAACAGTATTCTCTTCCTCATGCCATTTCCCTTGCCGTACCATTGTTCTCAGCACATCAAATGTCTCTTGTTAGGGTTTAGATCTAAAACGCCCTCCCAGAAGTCTCATGTTCATAAATGTGGCCTGTTTGGAGGGGACAGGTCGCTGGGGCCATGACCTAAAAGGATGTAATCTTGTCTCTGGTCCCTCCCTCTCTCTGCTTTCTGACTGCCTTAGGGGAGCAGCTATTCTGTGCCAGATCCCTCTGCCAGGTTTTTTTTTTTTTTTTTTTGCTTTGGAGCCAGGCAGCCATGGACTGAATCCTCTGAAAATCAGGAGCCAAAATAAATTCCTCTTCCACAAAGTTGTAGGAACTGGGCAATTTGTCCCAGTGACAGGGAAGTAACTAACACACTTACAATCTCTAGCTTTGCATTTGTCCCACCCCAAGCAATCTGCTTTTCACAACCCCACAAAGTTCAAATGCTTTAGGAAACTGTCTTTGGTATCCAAGTCAGGAAAGCACTATTTTGGAGAATCTACAGTTATATGGTATATGAAAAATGACGTCTCCTATGCTGTGCTCTTGACCCTCTCCTCTATAAACAAATAAATTGTTTAATAGAAAAATTAAAATCAAAGTTGATATTTTAAAATTATGTAACTTTGTCAATCCTCATCTGTCATTCTCCATGCTAACCTGAGGTCCTAGGTGAAGACATGGACCCATGAGGCTCCCAACTGCAAAGATGGCTTAAAAACCCACATTGTCTTAAGGGTGAAAGTTGTCAGACTTCTTACCTGTGCCAAAGATGTCAGTAAGGAAGGATGGTTTCTTCTTCCTAATTAAGGACTTCTCGAGGATGCATCATTTATTCCTCCTCCCAGATAACCAGTGAGTAACCTAAGAAAATATTTTTTCTTTCTTACATAAGAAAAATTAGCTCCCTTTTTGTACTTTCATTTTATGTAACAGAAAATTCTGCTACCTTTCCCTGTTTGAGTCCAGGGATTTGACTATTACATCTAAAATGACATTTTCAATGAAAAATTACTCATCTGTACCAGAAAAGAATTGCCTTTCTTTTAAGTGACACTCAATTTTGAGTGAGTGCTAGAGACTGTGAATTTAGTATATGGGGAAAAAAGTATTATAATAATCTTCAAACAAGAGAGAAAATGGTGCTGCTGAATGAGATTCATAGATGCATCACCTTTGCAGATCTTATTCCAAAAGAAAATGAATGTAGTATTGCTTTCCTTTTGAAGAGCATTGTAAGATGTCTTTTGTATGATTCTGTTCTTAAAATCTTATGGACAATATAATTGTGTAACTAAAGTGGGTCTTGTGTACCTAACTTTTAAATCTTTTAACAGGACATACAGTAGGGAATGTTTTGAACCATTATTTAAATTGGGTGTTATGAATTTTATGCTTTGTCTCTCCAAATATACTAGTATATGCTCCTTGAGGAAGGGAACCAAATCTTATTTAATCCGTAGCATCTCTCTCAGTGTCTGACAAATAAAAAATCTTCAAGAAATGGTTATTATGTAACTTGAGAAACTATAGAGAAGTAGTAAAATACAGCCTGAAAGAGAAACATCTGGTGTATATAAATAAATTTTTTCAATTAAGGATTAGTATTCTTAGAAAATCCACTGAGTGCAAAAAATAAAAAGGTAGAGAAAATGTTAAATACTTCTGCTTTTAAAAGTTAATATGGTTATTTCTTAAACATATCTGACACATTCAAAAGAAAAGTGAGCTACTATAGTTCTCTAATCATGACCAACTAAAGCAATATATCTAAAGAGGTAAAGGTAGAAGAGAAAGGGGGAAAAGGAGGGCAGGTTAAGAAAGAAATGAATAAAGGGGTAAGTGGTGTGGTATGCAGAGCCAAAGTGAAGATAGAAGGGATAGAGATTTCCAAGACACAGGTAGGTTATACTATTTTTATTGTTCATTTGGATGTGAAGCTCAGAGAAAACTATTACTAATTAGCTTAATGAATGAAGCATATAACCTTTCCTTCTTGTTGAATGAGTTATTTAATTCATTCAGTATTCACTTGCTTGACTCTTGCATGGTTAACTGTCATCTTTCACTACTGAATTACAATAAAAGAACTAGCAGTCCACTGCTCTAATGAAATTGCTCCCCGAACACACGTGTCCCAAGAATAAACCAACTATTACCCCTAATGTAGGTTTATCTACCCAGTTCAAATTCTGGGGGCATCTGTATTCAAATTAAAGCCAGCCTAAACCAAAAGGTTCAACATTTTCTCAGTAAGATAAGCAGTATCAACTGAAGATTAATAATGATACCTAACCCTTATTAAATTATGTGTTTTGTACACACTAATTTGTCTTATGTTATTCATCTCATTTTATTCTCCATAAAGGTCTTATTTTCACTGTTCTGATTGTAAATGCTAGGAAGAGGTCAAAGATAACCAATGTAGTCTGTATATACACACATGATCATAACCACTATCCACCTGTGCAGTTCCATGCACTTTGAAGATGCCAAAGGGGTAAGAGCCAATGAGAGCTTTATTATACGGTCTTTGAATACAGGGAACCCAGCACAGTTGTTTGGGTCTGAAAAGGAATAGTGAGAGTAGAAATGGGAATGGTTTGGTGGCTAAAAGAATTCTCATTCCTAAGATGTCTACTGCCTAATTGAAACTTATTCATGCACAGTAATACCTCAATTCATGAATGCTTCTGTTTGCAAACAATTCAGTTCATAAACAAAAGCATTCAGCAAATTTTGCTTCTATTGGCAAACTTCACATTGAGTGACAAACACGACCATGGTCATCTTCCTCATACAAACACAAATGCAGCCATTTTCTCCAAAGTCATAAAACAAATTAAGTTCAAAAATGGAGGTACCACTATATATGTGATACAATTCTCTACTCTGAATTTTTCAGAAAAGTTTGATTAGTACAAAATTACCTTGATTAGGAGTTTTCTTGTTTTGGTTTGGATCTTGGCTTGTATTTGTGTGTGTGCATGCATGCCTGTGTAAAATAAGAAAATCCAAGTCTTACCTCAGGATCCACACAGCAGGGAAAAGAAACAATACGAGTAAATCAATCCATAAAAACATACCACTGGTGTTTTTATGTCCAAAGTCGGAGGTGAACATGACAGTATATGTCCCTCTTAAGCAATACGACAGTGTTGGAAAGCAATCTGGTTTTCTACAGTCCAATAGATGGGACTCAAATAGATTTGTTAAAGTGATAGGAGAAAAGTTTATGTCTGGATTGTGTACTTGTTTTGAACAAGCACTTTCTCCACAACTTTTGTTACAGAAACCACAGATAAAAGTTGCATATATCTGTTTCTCACTAGCTGGTCAAAGGAATGTAAGTCTATGCATCAATTAAGCCTCCTAAAGAAGAACTAGATTTATGTTTATTTCATTAGAATTTATTTTTTTGAAAGTAGACTCACCCCTATAGAAGTGAACAAGCACCAAGGTGTGTGAAATATGTGAGTATTTCTCTGGATCATCAGCATTCAGCTGTCTTGGAGACAGGATTGAGACCTGAGACAAGCAGTACCAATATTGAATGACCACAGGATTTTTTTCTCTTACCTCAGCTAATACATTTCTATAAAAGTCACATTTGAATTTTCTATAAAACTGTCATTAAGACATTGTTCATGTTTGTATTTTCTACATGTATCATAGACTACTACTTGTCTGCCAATATTACCCCAGAAAGACTCAACCTTATCCCATTGCACAATGAACTCATGTGACCAAATTCTAACCAATAAAGCAGGTGGAAATACGTTGTGTGATACTTCCAGAAAGTTATATTAAATGGAAAGGACAAATAACTTTTGTAGTTTTCTCCTTCTTGTTGACAGCCTAAAATCCAGGTATGATGACTGGTGTCACATCAGCCATCTTGGACTACAAAATGTCCAAGAGACTGGAAGTCACAAATGTTGAAGATGATGCATCGATACATGCAGAGGAGTTTAGGTCTTCGTTGACATTAGGAACATTAAGAAAACTGGTAAGAGCCGGGTGTGGTGGCACATGCCTGTAATCCCAGCACTCTGGAGGCTAAGGCAGGAGGATCACTGTGAGTTCGAGACCAGCCTGGGCTACATAGGAAGTTCCAGGTCAGTCCCACCTACATAGTGAGACCCTGTCTCAAAAAATAAACAAAACAAAACAAAAGAAAGAAAATGTGATAGTCTATCAAGATTGGATCATAGAAGTGAAATTACCCACGATGAGTTCAGTAGCAGAATGTATTATTAGGAGGTTGGACCTACTTAGCAGTGGGGCCTCCTTGGAGGTGGGAACTTCTTGGAGATGAGTCAGTGGGGCTGTGACACAGAAGGCTGTATCCTTGTCCTTGCTGCTCCTTTCTCTCTTGGTTTCCTGACCGACATAGGTTGAACACCATATTTAGGACATGCCTTCTGCCATGTCATTTTTGCCTTAGAGCCAACCAACCATGGACTTGTGGGGATCATGAGTATTGGTTGTAAGTATTGTTAACTTTAGTAACTCTATATGTGTTAAGTTTCTCCAGTTTAGCAGGTAGAGTGTTTCCTTTGTGGAATTCCTGAAAGTTACAGTTTCTTGTCTCTGACCTTTAGATGTGTGGTTGTCCGGGTTACTACTACTCACGGTGGGTTGTTTTGGTGAACCTGCTTGCTCTTTTCCTGTGTGACCTTTCAGTTACTATGGTAAACCCATCCCATAATAGTTTGTGGTTTTTTGCTTTAAAAGGCCGGTGCTTGCCGGCAATAAACGTCGCCTTGATCAGACTCTTGTCTTGGCGTCCTTCCTTTCTCTCTGCCCCATCTCCACCCCGCTGCTCTTTCAGGTTTGAGACACTGCTGGACAGTGCTCTGCGTCGCCGGCTCGCGACATGGACTGAATGCTCTGAAAACTGTGAACAAAAATATAATTCTTTAAGTTATGGGTGTTGAGTATTTTATCCCCATGGTAATAAAATGACTAATATAAACTAATATAGATTCCCCAGTCTATTTTCTTTTTCTTTTTTTGTTTTTGGTACTGAGGATCAAACTTCGGACCTTGTGCTTGTGAGGCAGGCAGTGGCACCACTAAGCTAAATCCCCAACCCTACCTTCTTTTATATAAGAAATAAGTAGGTTATAGCTTGTTTAAATCATTTTTATTTGATGTTTTCATTTTATATGCAACAAATTTAACATCTATATTTTATATTTGGATGGTATTTTTGTTGACTTTAATATCACAAAAGAGAATTTCTCTAATAGGTATACATTTCCTTAATATTTCATTAATTTGGTTTTCCTGGATTTGTGTACCATAAAAAAACAGAGCTAAATTTAATGGTAATCATTCTCTCCCTGAGCTGCTGGTATAATGATTTTCATTTCTTACATCCACCCTCAGCCTGACATTCCTGCATCTTCTGATAGCTTAATTACTAGTAAAGTATACTTTACAAGCATCTTAAAACATGTTTTTTAAAAAATATAATTACAGGACCTTATGTGATCTCCTGATTATGTGACCAGTATTTCCAAAAGGAATAATACAAGAAAAGGGAGCTATGACTTACATCATTGATATTTAAATGCTAAAACAACATATCTTTTAGCTGAAAGGAATTTTCTGTTTGCCCAACAAAAAGATCAAAGTCCAATCAAATCTATACATATTTACATAAACAATTTATATTATACATCAATAAATAAACACAACTATTGTACTGTTGCCTGCTTTTGGTACACAGAACTCAGGAATCTGACACATGATTATGTATAGGTATTAAATTACCTGGTAATAGATAATTAATTTCTATCATAAAAAAAGTGGAGGATCTGGGATGGAGACCTAGTTTGTGTGCATACACTTCTTCTCTCTGTCCTATATTGATTCCGATATCTAAAATGGCATGGAAACATCCCAAAGAGGCAGAGACTTGCTTGAGATAGAAATACATGAGATAAGTATGGGGTTATTTTCACTACATTACATTAATAAACAAGATGTAGAAAAGAGAATCTACATTTTTCCTATTACATAGGTGTGATTCTGATCTCTTTTGTGAATGCATATAGTTGGGCGCTCTATTGATAAACCTGTTATCAATAGAAGGATGAAGTTGTATTTCCTTTAAGGAATCTCCTACTTAAACACGAAAATTTTCTTAAACAGATTATTTGAAAACATAAGTCAGTAAATCAATGTACAAGCATTTTTTCTTAAGAAGTAGTCTTCAGTAATTTTTAAAAGCCTAAGAAGCTCAACTTCCATTGAACACCTGTTCCAGTTTGCAGAACCACACTGTGCCTCTTCTGTCCACTCCTCTGTGAGAAGTTACCTTAAGGCAGCAATGTCATGTTTATTTACATCAACATCCTCCATTGTTGACTCTTCTGGGGCAGGGAGCATAACACAGTTCCAGAAACACATATTCTGAGGATTCAATAAATACTAGGAGGAGACAAGTTTCTAATTTAGCTCTCTCTTGCCAGTTTCCTGTTCAGCACCAATGAGAGATTTGCTCATAAGCACCCTTAACCTATTACTTTGCTTGACTATTTATAACTCTTTCTATATTCACTTCTTCAATTCTCTTGTGTATGTTTAATTGTTATTCTTTCCCATTTTGATGTTGTTCTTGGTATTTTGAGCTGCTCCCTTCCTTTGAAGTAGTGGGAAGCAGACTTACTCCTTCACTGGCAAAGCTGAGCAGTTCCAACTGCAACAGAAATAGATCAGGGGAATGCAAGTCTCAAGAAAGATTCAGTAGTCTGTCATGAATGGTCATCTCCTCCAAGACCTGATCTCACTGAAGTGCAACCAAGGCCTAGAAACAGGCAACGAAATGCTCTTAACTTCTTTATACATGGTGAGTACAAAATATGAGTATTTGTCACTAATCAAATATTCTAATTAGATAAACTAACCTAATTAGTCTAATTAGTTCCTAAACGTGCTGCCAATTTGCAAAGAATGGAAACACAACAAAATATAAGAAATAGAAAAATTACATTGCGCAGAAGTTCTTTCAGAATCTCAAAAGTATTTCAAAGTTGTAGATAGAACATTCTGTGCAGCTCCCGGCACATACTAAGCTCTCCTTTTTGCATAGGATCACTGTCTCCATTACTAAGGGGTTATGGTGTACAGACACATAAGTCAACAAATGAGGACAGAGAATAGAGAAGTTATTTATATAAGCAGACTAAAATAGTAGTTTCAACAACATCTTAAAGTCAAATTGGATGCAAAAAAACAGAATTATTATAACTTGAAAGGACCAGGCTGGGTAATAAATTGAGTAAGGCATCACTAGGCAGATACTTATTTTGTTTATTTTTATTTTTTAGTTTTTCAATGTGCGATCTTGACCACTTAGATTTTGTTTTTTTTAGTTTAATTTTGTTAGTACATATTTGGAACGCATGATGGTTACACTCATCTTAGAGAGTAGGTACATGTATATATTTATCTTGATTTTTTAAATTGCCCTTCCCCTCCCCACCTCTCCATACCTGTATCTCCAGATGCCCTTTCCCTGTTTTCATTGCTATTTTATTATTTCTACCTCATGTTTATGACATATAATGTTTACTTTCTTTGGGGATGCTTTCCCTTCCCTTCTTCCATTCCCTTACCCTCAGTCTCTTGAGCCATTTCCCATTTACAAAAGTTCTATCTCTCTGTTTCTTTCTACTGATCTTTTATTCTGCTGTTTATTAACATTTTACCTTACTTAAATGAGAGTTACTGTACAGTATGTACATTTGTATATCTCATTTATTTCACTTAATGTTATATTTATTACGAGTATCTGTTTTCCCACAAATGTCTCAAATTTATCCTTTTATTAATGAAGGGTATCTATTATGTGTAAATTACAATATTTGCTTTATTCATTCATTCATTCATCTGTTGTTGAGAATACAGAGTGCCTCCAAAATTCAGCTATTGTGAATTGTGCTAGCATAAATGTTGGTATTCATGAATCACTGTAGTATGATATCTTTAGTTCTTTTGGAAAGATACCTAAAAGTTGGGTCAAATGGCATTTCTATTTTCAGTTCTTTAAGAAATTTCATACCGGTGTCCATAATGGTTGTATTATTTTACATTCTCACCAAAAATGTAGAAGTGTTCCTTTTTTTAACCACGCCCATAGCAAATATTTATTTTTAAGGAATTTTATCCAATAATTTATCAATATCAGACTGTTAGGATGTCTAAAATACTGAGCTAGAAACTGAAGGAATTAGTGAGGGCCAGCATTTGAATTCTACCATCAAAAATCTGGAACAATAATCTACTTATATAAAACCTATTAGCTAGCAATATAAGGAAAACCATAGAAGCAAAAACATAGGAACAACCACAAAGCTTTTTGTAGGTCAAAGGCAGAAAATTTCTCCTCATAACAAAATTCACAAGCCCTTTAGCAAAGTTACTAAGTCTACCTATTGGAAGTTAAAGCTTCCATAAATTAATGTGTCTTCTGTAGTGTATTCAGGTTCCTGCCGCCATCCCCAAATCAACTTTAC